GACATGTCCCAAGACCTTCCTAATCCTCCTGTCAGCTTTTGGAAACTTGACATATGCAAATAGATATGGACAGGACTGGAAGGATACCCTATAAATTTCAGAGAGGACAGCGTCCAGAAACAAAGGTCCCCATTGTCTCCCTCCACTGTTTACCTTTCCTTTTACATTCATGCACGGGTGGTTTTCAGTCAGCTTCTGTTTGTTTTCCATCCTCATTTCACTGCGTGTGTTTGTTTTACTAAACGGACACTTGATTCCTCTGATGACATTTTAATCTGTCAGGTTTGGGACATACTTTGTCATCAAGACCTTTAGTGTCTGCTAGACACGAGTTATTTTCATCCGCCGTCCCCACAGCCCGAGTTATTGGTGATGATTACCTATTGACAAAGTCAAAGGGAAAGCAAATGCCAACAATAGGGAATCTTTTACTAGCTCGTCTCAAGTTGTATGCCTTCCGTCTCAGAACAAGAGTTGTTAGCCATCTGTAAAATGAATTCATTATTTTGTTATCTTACCGGAACATATCCGACAATATGGTCCAAGACACTGTAAACTTCTTTTTCAAGGTTTTATTGATTTATTTATTTATTTAAGAGAGGGAAAGAGAGAACATGTGAGTGTGGGAAAGGGGCAGAGGGAGAGGGACACGCTGACTCTGAGCTGAGTGTGAAGCTGAGTGCTGGGCTCAGTCCCATGACCCAGAGACCATGACATGAGCCAAAACCAAGGCTCAGAAGCTTAAGTGACTGAGTCACCCAGGCTCCCCTCTATTGTAAACTTTTATCCAAGTTTGCACTATGAAACGTGTCTTCCCTAAGATCGCTCCCATCCAGTGTTTGACGGTGTTCAGTAAATATTTGTTAGGGTATTTGATGTGCCAACAACAGCCCAAACCTCAAAATTCAGCAGGAATCACACAGGCTCTGCTGGTGATCCACTGACTCATCCTCCCGTGAAAGGAGAGAGAACACAAACTAAACAAGAATTGTCACATACATAACCTGTTCCCAAGTTCTAGGCTGAAAAAGAAAGCCAGGTAGGCACACAGAGCGTGCTGGGGTCTTATTTCGGAAGAAGACATTGTTCCCGACGGAAGGGTTTTGAGCAAAGCTCTGATGATAGTTGGAAGAGTAAGTTAAATGTTTCTCTGTGGGAAGAACATGCTGGGAACCGAGAATAGAAAAATGTAAAGGTGTTTTAAGAGGCTAATTTGGTTGTATGCATCAAAATTCCAAATGTGCACTCACTTCGGTAAGGCATTCCCCTTTATAGAAACTTTTAAATTATTGATATGTACAAAACTTGTGCACTGCTTTGTTGTTTGTGATGTTGGGACATTTAAAAATAAATTCAGCAGTCTGGTGGCTAGGACACATTCAAAATGGAAAATATAAGGAATTAACAATAATAAGTTACATCTCAGTGAATCAACATATGGATAAATCTCTAAAAATACTACTCCCTTAAAAAAAAAAGTATGATACTCTTTATATTTTCTCATGTTCTGTGTATAAAACAAAGACTGCCCTCCAATATATTAGTATGTTTGTGTGTTCATGACAATGCATGCCTATGAGCAAAACAGAATTTATACCCTTCTCTTGAGAGTATCCCATGCTGGCCAATGGACATAAAGGTGCAAATTGGGATGGGAAAACATTTTTTTAAAGATAGATTTATTTGAGAGAACGGTGGGGAGGAGCAGAGGGAGAGAGAGAGGCCCAAGCAGACTCCCCACTAAGTGCAGAGTCATGACGTAGGGTTCCATCTCACAGCCCTGAGATCATGACCTGAGCCAAAATCAAGAGTCAGGTCCTTAATGACTGAGCCACCCAGGTGTCCAGGGAAATGTTTTAATATGAACTCATATGTTCACATATCTCTTGATGTCTGTGAGTTTTGGGGATTTAGGTTATGCTGACCTCATAAAGCATAAGACAGTTGAATTCCTTTTGTCTCTCTGAATATGAGTCGATATTATCTAAGATGAGTGGTGCTCTGTTCTTCGCATGTTTGAAAGGATTTACTACTAAAATCTTCTGGACCAGCAGCTTCTTTATGGAAACTATTATGAGGCAAATTCAGTTCCTTTAGTCGATGAGGGACTATAGAGATGTTCTTTTTCTTCTTGTGTCAGCTTTGGTAACCTATCTTTCAAGAAATGTATCCTTTCCACCAAAGGTTTTAAAGTGGTGGGGTGGCTGGGCAGCTCAGTCGGTTAAGCATGTGTCTTTCACTCAGGTCATGATACCAGGGTCCTGAGATTGAGCCCCATGTCAATCTCCCTGCTCAGCGGGGATGCTGCTTCTCCCTCTCCTTATGCTACCTCCCCCTGCTTGTGCTCTCTCTCTCTCTGTCAAATAAAATAAAATATTTCTTAAAGTGTTGAAGTGGCATAACTTCATTAATAGTTTTTTTCTGACTATTTGTATCTGTAACATTTGTGGTGACAGTTCCCCTTCCCTTATTAACATTGGTCACATACACACATTTATGAAAGAGAGAAAGAAAGTAGGCAAAAAATATGCAGACTCTGCCTTTTCTTCTTGCAAGTTTTCTATAATTTTTATAACATAATGTGTATGTGAATGTATTATATGCGCACGCACACACGCAATCATATGTGGGTGTGTGTGTCATATTTCACAATCTTTTAAACCCATTTATGCCACGGTTCACCTTTCAACATCCTTACAAGACTGAAGTTGAATTCACAGCATTTCCAGATACACTATGATGATAGGAGTCAGAACTCCAAATCCATACCCTCTTTTATTCAGGAATAATAATTCCAACATTTTTAACTTTTCTTAAGATTTTATTTATTTATTTGACAGAGAGAGATCACAAGTAGGCAGAGAGGCAGGCAGAGAGAGAGAGAGGAGGAAGCAGGCTCCCCGCTGAGCAGAGATCCCAATGGGAGGCTCGATCCCAGGACCCTGAGATTGGGACCTGACCTGAAGGCAGAGGCTTTAACCCACAGTCACCCAGGCACCCCTCAAACATTTTTTTAATTTTTATTTTCCTGGAGTTTGGACTGAATATCTGAACTCTGTATCAACCGTTGGAATAAGTTCTGCATCCAGAGTGCTGATCTCTTTGGTGGTGAACCCCTGGCTTTTCATAGATAAGTGATCAATGTGTTCTGCCTGTTGTAATGGGAATGGCCATCCCTTAGAAATCCCAGGTTATACCACTATTTGAAACACAATGGAATGGCACACTTCAGATCTTCCCAATTGAGCTCTCAGCCTGATGGTTTGTGCAAGCACTACATTGACTCCATGACCCTATGGGTGGACTGGATCTCGACTGGTGCCCCATCTTGGATGACTGGTAATCCTGTTGTAAAGAAATACCAGTTCTTCCCCTCAGTGTCATGAATGATGTTGCTGCCATAGTAGGCGTTTCCCCTTGATTATGACTCATGCCATCACAGACTGTCCCTGTATAAGACTCAGGGAGATACACACATGCTCCTTTCCTTGTGGTGAATAAGATGCTTCTAGGAACTTTTTCCTTGACCAGACTGCTTCATCCCATTGCAGTCAAAATATCCACCAGCGTTTCCTCTCTCCCCTGATGGTTTAGACGTTTTTTCCCCTCTCTTTGTCATATATCTATAGCACATTGAATCCTAATGTAAGTTGTCTCTGATGGGATATTGACCCTATTATAGAATAATTTCCTGGATAGTTGTATTTAAAATGGCTATTTGTGTGTTTTTAAAATTAAGGGAATTTCTGCACAAACACATATGTACAGGAAGCATATTTCGCCAATTTATTTAATCATTTGACAATCCAGCAACACCAAACAGTATGTGAATAGTGAGGGAGAGCAAAGAAATGGGGAAAGGAATTATGTTAAGAGAAAAACATGACATCAAGCAGAATCAAGCAATGCTTTCTTCATACTGTTGATCCTGATTCCATGCAGAAAAGGATGTGTCCGCTTCTCAGTGACACGGCTGTAGGAGGAGAAAACAGGACAGAAGGTTGAGTTGACTAGACTCTGTGATAGCCTGACTGGGGTGAGCCTCAGGGAGTATAATGTCAAGGGTTAGGAGAGCTTTTAGTTAACCCAGCGCACAAGTTCCACGGGGAATGGCAGACTCTCCATCTCTGTGATATGGGAGGACCCACTGGAATTTTTCCATGCATCTACATAGGATGGGACCCTTCATGATCAGGATCCCTATAATATGGAAGGAGCCACTGGAATTTTTCCATGTGTGTACATAGGATGAGACCTTTCATGATTAGGATCCCTTTCAGGACTTTGATAATTTCAGAATGCATGTTCACAGGCACCACCTATCCAAAAGGATTTTACAGGATCTTTGATGGAGTTACACTCTGTTCTTCCGATTCTAAAAGCTTTATGGCTTGAAGATGTGTTCAGCCTGGAAGCTAATGTCTCTGTTTGCTCTTTTTTCCTCCATTTCTTCCCAACAACAGCGACAAAAGGTACATTTTAGCCTACACCAGCATCATGCTTTGACGCTTATCTTACTGTAGAAAGTTCAAAAATCGCACGTTAAGGAAATCTCGTTCTGCAGAACAACACACCTGGGAGGCATGTATCACATAGCATTTTGGGGGAGTTTCCAACGCGACGATTACAATTATGTGAAATCACACCTGGTGTGTGCAGAGGGAATAGGGACATGTATAGACAACCCTCAACTGAGACTGAATGAAAAAACCCATTGTTTTTCCAGTCATACCTGCCAACGTCTGCTATCTCCTGCTTCTCTCGGAAGAACTATCGTTGGCACGATTCTTGCATGATAAGCCTTTGTCACCAACACTGCTTCTTAGGATGAATGTACTAGGATGTGGTATTTGCAATTTCAGTAGGACTCAGGGTAAACAAAATAACCTCATAAAAAAGCTCTCTACTGACATAATTATTGGGCTAGTTGACATAGAAACCCTCACAACAGAGTCATGCTTACTTACACTATTTAGAAGGAGTTGGTGTCACTGGTTTTGTTAATTGACGGGACAGTCATCTGGGGACAAAACAAATGCAAAAAGTGAAAAAAAGGACCAACCAATCATCACCATTTCCCAATATTTGTAAGGATTTCCCCCTTTTTTTTTTTTAATTTGAATTTGAAAAAAATTTTACTTGTTTGAGCAAGAGTGAGAGTGAGTGGGGACAGGAGCTGGGTGTGGAGTCTGATGCAGGGAATTAAAATTTTTAAATTAAAATTAAAATTAAGGGGTGCCTGGGTGGCTCAGTGGGTTAAAGCTTCTGCCTTCGGCTCAGGTCATGATCCCAGGGTCCTGGGATCAAGCCCCACATCAGGCTCTCTCCTTGGTGGGGAAGCCTGCTTCCTCCTCTCTCTCTACCTACCTCTGCTTACTTGTGATCACTGTTTGTCAAATAAATAAATAAAATCTTTTAAAAAAAAATAGAAATAGAAAAATAAAATTAAAATTAAAATCATGACCTGAGCTGAAATCAAGAGTCGGATGCTTAACCAACCTCACCACCCAGGTGCCCCATGATTTCTTCTTTTAAATGAAGGGTTTTATAAAAGATAATTCGTGGAAGAGAAAATTCAAAAAGAAATCCGTTTGTTTCCTTGTAGCATATTTATATATCAGGTAAGGGATATATTCAGGTAAAAAAATATATATATATATCACATTACCAGTACCGATGAGATTTACAGTATTTTCTTCTGGAATATTCCTTTGTCTAACCAACTCCTTGAATTTCTCAATGGATTCCTCATCGACTTCATGTGTTCTGCCTGAAAATCACAATGCGTGAAGCAGAAATTGCCCATTAGAACCCCTAGGAATTTCTGAATACAGAACGAGAAACATGAAGGGGGAAATCTAGTCTTTCACTGAGTCTCAAACGATTACCGTTGACCTTGTCTCAATGTCAGCTCTCTGACTTAGGTGGATAGGAGCCATTAAACCCTCTGTGATTGCATGGCCATGAGCTGTCTAGGAGTGCAGGACCCCAGGGACACATCAGGAACTCCATGAATCTTGGATCCGACCCACCAAGAACATCCAATCTATGGCGTGTCTGCCTTTGCCTCAGAATCTGTGTCTGACATGCACGTCGGGTTCTGGACCCAAACTGCAAGCTTGATTCTCACCTTCCAGACAAATAACATCCCCATCACATGTAGACTCAGAGACAGCTTGTTTTGTTTCGTTTTTTTTTTTTAAATTTAAACCACAGTTCTCAGATGCCTTTTTCCAGATCGAAACCCAGTATCCCGCAGACTCTAGCACCCATCTCCACACCGCTTGTGTGTTATTGAGGGGTTGAAATAGTCAGTGTTGGCAACAACAATGCATTAGAAAGACGAAATATAATGAAGGTTTATTTTGAAAACTTCTGTCCCGAGGCTGGTCAGTGGATTTGGAAAAAAATGGTCATAAATTGAAGGCTTAGGGTCAACCTGAAGAAAGCTGAGGTTTGAAATTAGTTGACCTGCTATGAAACTACTTCTAATGAAACTCATTTTTTTTGTTTTAATTTTTCATTTTAATAAATGGGAGTTATTTTTAAAGACCTCCCTCTTCTCCTGACTTTTGTTTACACCTTTCTTTTTAGAATCATTCCAGGATCCTTGACACAATGCACATGAAGACTTTGGCCTTGTTGGCAGAATCATTAATAGTGTCCAAAAGTACTGATTTTCTCCGTGAAAATGCTGACGGCCGAAATATGATATGGCCATGACCATCGCCAGGATGTCATACATACCCGCCAATATAACTAAATCTGTGGTGCGTCCTTCTTCATCCACGTTGATATCATAGGCCAGCATAATGTTTGGGGTTATCCTGACAACTTGGAAATTGTTGGTCCCCTCATCTGTGAGGGAGAAAAAATATACATATATGTAAAATTTATATAAAGTTATATAAAATTTATATATGTATATAAAGACTCACCTTTGTTAATTTATGGTAGATTGGCTTTACCGTGGTGTAGTTGGCGTATGGGTAATGACATTCTCGTACCAGACTCTGTGTCCCCTTCGCGGTGTAGTATGAACATTAATGTTGCTTATGACAATGAGAACAAGGACGGTAGGGGACACTTTCCCTTAGTGCCACCTTCTTCGGCAATGAAACATCTCACACCTCCCAGTGTTACTAAAATAGTCCCTAAAATGTGTTGCCATGACACCCACATGTCTCTAAACAACACGTGTTGGGATTACATGGCATATTATCATATACAACCTTGAAATCTTTTCATATTGGCCATATCCCAGCAATGGAGTTGACTTCTCTTTAGATCAGCTGCCATTCAGAACCATGCATAACCGTATGCTGAGTGTCTACTCTGTATCGGGCAACTGTCCAGGCCTTTGGTTAATGCCAAAGGCTGCATTCACTCTGCCCCTTAATCTAGGTGTATGGGTGAACACATTTAAAACTTCCATGAATACACCCATTTTTATGACTATTGGTTATACTGTGAACACATCATGGGTGGGGACAATCTCAACATTTGATTCAGATCCCATGTGCACGGGGCACCTTCTTCTCTGGCTATGCCCATCCATGCCGCCATGTTTCTAAGAAAAAGAAAAAGGCACCGATCCACACATCATGTCTTCACAAAACCTTCCCACACGCATTCTCCCTTCCAACCACAGCATACATAGCACCTTATTTGAACCACTGCTCCAGATTTTACCTGAAACTCTGCCGGTTTGTGTGTCCCACTGAACTAGCGTTAATCTACCACGGCGAAAGACCAAGGAGCCCCGGACGGAACTTCACTGTCTCCCAGACAAGTCTCTGAGCCTTGCCCAAGCTTACACTACCTCCATGAGTCTTGGGTTATGTGGAAAGAATTTAAATATGGTTTTGTGCATCTCTAAAGATTCTTGGTAACCGCTTGGGATGACGATGTTATAAAGGAGGGCTTTGCAAGAAACCTCACTAAGTCGGTTTATAAAGGGAACGCAGGTCATGGAAGTGACGGGATGAAATACGTCAAGGCCACCGCTAGTTTTATCCCTTGGTTTCTCCAAAACAGAGCTGGGTAGGTGGCAAATCCTAGTTCCCAAAGTCAGCTCAAAGTAAGCTCATGGTCTTTCTCTCCTGCCTTAAATTGCCGTGTCCAAATCCCGTTAAAAAGGGCTACGGAAGTGCAGAAAATTAAAGAAAGGGTGACAGAGAACATCGATGGCACAAGCAAACGGAAAGATCATCTACGAGGAAGAGAAATGAAATAATTTAAAAAAAAATCTCCTGGTAATATAAAAGCGGCAGAAGGACAGGCATATAATCGACTTTATTTTCGTATCTTCTACTTAACTACATACCCATTGTGCTGTTTGTTATCTTAGACAAGGACTGTAACCACAGATTTACACATTTAAATTTTAATATGATAGTTAGACATGAGGCCACTTAAAATTTGGAACGTTGTTTAGGGTCATTAGAAAGCGCTTAGGGATCTGATTCTTAACCGACATCCGTATGGCTTTCGACAGAAGCTGAGCTTATGAAGAAATGTGCCTGGTGTGGGAAATAACTGATTCCCTTGGATTTTAAGTTAATCGCCTGCACATGGAATGGAGTAAAAGGCTTTAAGACAATTTTTTAAAATGTATTCCATCGGGGCACTTGGGTGGCTCCGTGGGTTAAAGCCTCTGCCTTCAGCTCAGGTCATGATCTCAGGGTCCTGGGATCGAGCCCCGCATCGGGCTCTCTGCTCAGCGGGGAGCCTGCTTCCTCCTCTCTCTCTGCCTGCCTCTCTGCCTACTTGTGATCTCTGTCAAATAAATAAATAAAACCTTTAAAAATAAAATAAAATGTATTTCCTTATAGCAAAATGACATCAATACGTAAACTCAAGATAGACCAGTTAGATTGAGTTCCTAAGGTCGTTTTACCTTATCTGGCAACATTTTCATGCAATTGAGAACTTTAAGAAACAAACCATCTAAACACACGGTCTGACCACTCCTTTAATAATACTCGTAATTGGAAGGAGCCACCCATGTCCTATGATCGAACTGTCTGTGCATGACAAAATAAAGTGCTTGGAAAATTTAGGGACATTGTGCCCAGTCATACTTCTGATCGTTCATCAAAGTAGAATTCAGGCACACAGAGTTCCGGAAAGAAGTTGAGGCTAAGAATTCAATCTTAAAATATCGGTAAACCGAATATACTTACAGTCAACATGGATCACATTGTAGAGTCCTACCGTTCCCATGACAGATTTTTCTATGCATTCTCCATTCACCCTAAAAATCAAAATGTCTTTAAGTAGATGGACGAAAACCATGAAACCCTGGTCCGTAATTAACATCTTCGTTCTTTCGGCCGCAGAAAACCCTATTTGAGGTGTCCTGTCAGTGCCTATGAACCATGATAAACAACGTGACCTTCGAAAGAGAAGTAGGTGTCCCACCATCAAGTGTCACCTGGCAAGGACGTCTTTGTCGACACATGGCATCAGACTAGTAGTTTTAATGACAGAGGGGGATACAAAGCATGTCATATTTAAAGCCAGTTAAACATGAAGACATATGAGGGCCCCCCAGGGGGCTCAGATGGTTAAGCATCTGCCTTTGACTGAGGTCATGATCCTGGGGTCCCGGGATCGAGTCCCACATCAGGCTCCCTGCTCAGCGGGGTGTCTGCTGCTCCCTTTCCCTCTGACCCTCCTCCCCACTTGTGCTCTCTCTCTCTCTCTCTATCTCAAATAAATAAATAAATAAATAACATGAATAAATCCGAAATATTGGAAAGTTATTAAAATACTAGAAAATGATAAACATTTTCTGGTAACAGACAGAAATAGCTCTCAAGGCACGCCTTAGCCATTCTCACAACACTGGCAAAGATTTCTTACCCAATATAAAAAACAAAAAAAAAACTCCCCAAAAAGAACAAAGAAATATGGGTTTAATTTAATCAGAACCACGAACTTCCATTAAAAAAAACCCTAAGAAAACGAAACACTGAACAACATATATATATATATATAAACACATTGCACACACACACCCAGACACACACAAGCCCACATGATACACGTTTGTGCTACGTGCAAAGTAAATGCATATTACATACAACCATCACCTATGTGTCCCATATATAGCAAAAGAGTCCATGGGTCTCTGTGACAAAAAAAAAATGTGTATTTGGAAAAATAGGAACAATGCGTACAGCACAAATAATTAAACAGGAAAGAGTCTGACTAAAATGAAGCAATGTGTTGAACAGATATGTCACAAAAGAGGGGCCCCAGGAAGCTGTGGTCCCCACTTTGAGTCATTAGGGACGTGCAAAGTAAAAGCCACTTCCTGTTCACCTGGAATGGATAAAACCACAGACCAAGTCAACCCTGAGGTTTGGAAAAAACAGGTTGCCATGATGATCTAATGTCTTGCTGGCCATAATCCTAATGGCGCTGTCACTTGGAAAACAATTTGAATTTCCTGTCGTTAGAGATGCTGAGGTCACCCATAGACAACTACAATGCCACCGTGTCACAGTCCCCAGGAGAACAGCAAATAATATGTCCACGCAAACACGTGGCAGAGCGACCTTATCAAAGCCGTCCCCAATACCCACAATGTGCAGACCTTATCCCGTACCTGGAAAACGTGCCCGCTGTTTTGGACACAAAGTACTTTAACTCGGCAGTGACAAAAGGGACTAATTGTCCCGGAAGCCTTGTGCCTATATGGTTAAAGCCTTATGGGGGATGAGAAAAACAGGAGGAGAGGCACTGTGTGTGATTCCACTGTGTGATGTTCTGGAGCAGAGGAGAAAAGCTTGTCAGAAAAGTTCTCCATGTGGCCACACGGGCAGACACTTGGAGAGAAGCAGACTTTTGGTGGCGATGGAAAAGGTCCCGTACCTTGACTAGCAATGACAAACGGTTGTACACGTGTGTGAAGATTCACCCACTATGCCTTCACGTGCACGCCTGTGATCTCACGTGCATGACATTTCAGGAGACCTGACTGCAGAACGAGGGACCCCATGGAAAGTCAGCGAAATGCAGACGGACACAAAAGTATAAAAATGACCCCAAAACATCATAGGGTATTCTTTAAAAAAAAATATGGAGGAGTGCCTGGGTGGCTCAGTGGGTTAAGCCTCTGCCTTCAGCTCAGGTCATGATCTCAGGGTCCTGGGATCGAGCCCCGCATCGGGCTCTCTGCTCAGCAGGAAGCCTGCTTCCTCCTCTCTCTCTGCCTGCCTCTCTGCCTACTTGTGATCTCTCTCTCTCTGTCAAATAAATAAATAAAAAATACTTAAAAATATTTTAAAAATATGGAAAACTGACAGGTATACTTATTAGGATATGATGTCTGCGTAATTTCATTATATGTATATATAATGTCTAACCAACAGCATCATAGATTATACATAATCAATTCTATATCTATCGGAATAGGATATGTGTGTAATTTGATTATATGTATATATAACACATAATCAGCCCCGTCGTAGAGTGTCTGTAATCAATTATATAATTAGTTATATATCAATTGTATATATCAACTATATATCAATTATATAACTAATTATATAATTGCATAACATTACATATATTATAATTATTGTGTATTATATATAGCAGTTTTATCCATTACTAAGTCCAGAATGCATTCCAGTACTATTAATGGAATGCTCACAGTACTGCTAGCCTATATATATAAAATAATTATATATTACCATATATATGTTATACATTTTTATATATTAGATTCATATTATAATAATTATATGTTATTATATATTATAATGTATTATATATTAAAATTATTATATATTATATATTATTACATATTATAATTGTAAAATACGTTTATAATTATCAAACATGAACAAACATGTTCATTCATGATATTTGTACATCAATTATATCAATTACATTTGTATATATACAAATATATATATTTGTATTATACATTATTATATTATAATATATATTATATTATATATATCATGCATTATATATAATATTATTTATATATCATATCATATATTTATGTAATATATTATTATATATTATAATTTTATCATATATTATGTATTATGTATTATATATTATTATATATTATTATATATTATCATTGTAAAACATGTTTATAATTATCTAACATGTTCATTTGTGATATTTGCATGTCCATTACATCAATTACATTTGTATATGTATAAACCCATCTCTCCAAACATAACCCTCTTATTTTACTTTCTCAACGCTCATCTTTTTTTGTTTTCTGTTCTTCAGCACCTGTGTCTGTGTGTGGAAACTAGAGAGAGAGGTTCTCACTCAGTTTGTTATAATGCACGATTTTTGATACATGTTCTGAACCCCTTTATCCTTGGAAGAATCACCCTCCCCTTTATGCCCCTTCCAATTTCTTCCCGATTCTTAACAGATGAACGCATCTCTCTCCTTATTTTCAGTCCTTTACTCCTGTGTGTTCTCCAGCCACTACCTTGACAGGTATCTCTAAGCCTCGCAATATTTCCTTTACATCTCCGTCAAGTCCCCCTTTGCAAAGTTCTTTCACTTTTCTTGCACGGCCAACTTTTTGAACTATTAAACCATCATCCGTTCCCAGTGCAATTCTACCTGGATCGGAAGGACTGCAAACAGTAAAGATTAACAATTCCCTTTCCACGTGCCATGTAAACATAGGTTTTAACCTTACACACAGTGGATCTGTCTGCATGATTTTGTGCTTTGGGATGCCCTATATTTCTTTTAAATAATTCCTCCTGCTTCCTTCCTTCCTTCATTCAGTTTAAAGCCCTTTCTGTTGATCTGTGTGCCAACATGTGTCCTCTTTCTTCCTCCTTTGTTGGAAAATTCCCAGTCCATCTTCAAAGGCATCCTACACATACCCTGTTCTTTGTGACCTTTCATAGAACACCCTCCAACCCCCACCATACAATGACGGGCCATTTTCTGGGGGTCTCTTTCCACCTAGACTTTACTCTTACAATAGAATTTCACGTGGTATTGTTATGAGTTTAGAGATCTGTATCAGACTCTATTTTACCAGTGAAGGTAAAAAAACAAATAAATAAATAAGTTTCATCTTCTCTTAGTCTTTTGAGTTCTTAATAAAATGCCTATCCTATAGTGGGCATTTTATAAATAGTAGTTGAAGTAGCAAAGGCTTTGGTGAATGTCACAATTCAATGATGTTCAAAATTTGCTACTTGTGAGTTCTTCAGGGTAGAGAATGATAGAGCCAGTGGCAGGAACCCTACAGTCCCAGAAGCTCCATGAAGACCATCTCCTTAAAGCAAGGTTGTGCTCAATTTATAAGGAACTAAGACTTCAACGCCATGCAGATATTACATTGCAAACATGGAGCTCAGATGCATTAACAGGTGTTTTTGCTCTGTGTGATTTTTACTTACTTGATGAAAAAATTGAAAAAGATTTTCCTTCTTGTCATGTCCACATCAACATGTCTTACATAAGCCCTAAATGGGCTGTTTTCACTGAGCTTCTCAGCATTGTTAGCTGCCAGGTGTATCGTCTTCCATTGTCCTGGAAGCTAACGGCAAAATTCCTATCAGTAACTTTACTCAATTCCCTTTTATTTTCTCCAACATCATCCCATATGGTTATGCCTTGTCTTTTGCATCAGCACAAAACTAACTTTTTGAACAACCCAGGATTTATAAACTACTGGAAAAAGCCAAGTCAACAACAAATCAACACATTGACATATTCCTAAAATAGCATATCCGTTCTTACCCAACGCAAGACCTCAAGCCCGATAGCTCATGGGCTGTTGCATGTCCTCTTTTACAAGTACAGTAGACATGTATAAAGGGCCAGTGACTAGACTCTAGGAGACACATACAGTAGACACGTGTAAGAAGCCTATTTACAGAGTTCTCAGTTTCCAGGTAGACGGCTAATCCTGACGCAAGTCAATTGGATAGACATAGGAAAACCCCCGAAAACACGCACATACACATAAAGACCTCTTTGTCAGGCCACCCAGTTTCTGGTACCTGTATCAATGCATTACGTAAGGATAGCTGGGCATCGCAAACCGCAACAAGGACAAGAGACAACAGTAAAACCTTCATGTCTCCAGCACGTCTTGGTTCCTCCTCTGGAGAAGCTCTGAGTAGATTGCCGGTTGCTAAGATTCTGAATTTTCATTGCTTTATATAGTATATGTCTGAGGATGTGGCAATGTTTGTCTATTTGTCATTCTTTTCAAGAGAGCGTTGTGTAATACTGACAACATCCTGGTTGGCAGTGATGTATCCCAAAGACCTGTGAGATCTGGGGCACGTTGCTCATTTCTTCCTCGACTCTGGAAAAGACATTCAGAAGCTCGGTTGGCCTGTACCATTGTTTGGATCAAGCCTGCATATCTCATGTAATGTGGATACTCCCTCATTCATTCTTGTGGAAAAGAAATGTCCCCTTCCCTCTTTGTTGGATGTGTTGCAAGGAGATCACCTTCCTGCCCCAGCACAACTGTTCCCTGTTTCTTGGGAAAAGATGGAAGGATGTATGTGGGGGCTTTGCCACAAACCAACTCATAAATGCAAATGCCAACGTGCAGGTTGGGAGACATCTGGTTTTCCTCTTTCTCAGCAAGCTGGGGGTGAAACCACTTTGAGGCTCTTCATAGACAAAGCTGTACACAGTCCTGAGCGTGTCTGTCCCTCTGAGCTTATTATGAATATCAGATAATTATATAACTATGGAAAGCTCATAGGAGAGTGTTTAGCTTGGAGAAAACAGGTCTTAAGTTGTTACTAATATCTTTGAAGAAAACCAGTGAACCAGTCAATCAAATAAGAGTCTCTTAGGAAGCCGCTACCATCATCGGTTTGCTCAACATTAAATGAACTTGCCACTCATCCTTACAGGCTAATAAAGTGAAACAAGAAAACAGGTATCTTGCGATTCTTTTGCTCACATCTGGTCAATTATGAAATAGAATAAGGGGGCTGTGTGATAAGAACAGAAAGACTGGAATGCCTAGAATAAATGAGTATCTTTTTAATGATTTTTTTTGAAGGTTTTATTTATTTATTTGACAGAGATCACAAGTAGGCAGAGAGAGAGAGAGAGAGGAGGAAGCAGGCTCTCCACTGAGCAGAAAGCCTGACGTGAGACCCGATCCCAGGACCCTGAGATCATGAGCTGAGCTGAAGGCAGAGGCTTAACCACTGAGCCACCCAGGTGCCCCATGAGTATCTTTTTAAATATGATAAGACCAGGGTAAACAAGACCTAAAATACAGGCAGTGGCACTAATCCCTCATGAAAGGTTGGCTTGTGTCCTCTTCCAAACTCATGTGTTGACGCCCTACTTGCCAGACCCCCAGAATGGGATATACTTTGGAAATAGGGTCACTGTGACAATGTAGTTGGCTGTAGTTAGTTCAGAGCAGGTCATGGTGGACTAGGGTGGGCCCCTGATCCAATATGGTTGCTGTCTTTCTAAAAAGGGAAAATTTGGATGCGCGTGCACACAGAAAATGTAGGGTGATGCTGTCACAAAGCAGCAACCTTCCACCGGCAAGAAGACAGAGATAGAGCAGACCCTCCTCTAGAGACTTCATGGAGACTACAGCCCTGCCCACATCCCATCTCACACTTCTGGCCTCCTTATCTCCAAGGTAATACATCTCTCTTGCTCTAAGCTACCCATTTTGATTGATGGTTTGTCTGGTTGGTTGATTCTACAGTATCCCTAAGAAACGCTTACGCACTCGGGATTTGATATCAACTATGACTTGGGCCACGTAGCTAAGGTCCTTGCCATGTCCTTCCACCTCTGCCTGAGCCCACTGAACTGATGGAAGACCCTCTTTTCTCTTAGACTAAGAACTCAGTAGGGCATGAGAGCTCTAGTTCTCATGCCAGCTGCTTGGAAGTTGTCGGGAGACCACGTCTACAAATGAAGAAGCATCTTCAGCCAAATAAAGGACAAGACAAACAATGGATTTTCCTTGTTTTTTTAGTTTTCCTCACATTTTTTTTATTGACATGGGAAACAGTGACAGGTTAAAATTATTGACTTTATTCTTTTGGAGCAACCATGTGGTCTCCATATTCTTGGGAGGTCTTCCTTCCTCCAGAGATCAGTTTATGCTCTAGGCACAGGAAGGTCTGTTTTCTCTTGATTTCACAAGTTCTTTTATTGATTGAAACTATATTTGTGTTGTCTTATGAAACAAAACAAAGACAACTGTTAAGGGACTTCCCTGCCAGAAGAGTGTAATTAATTACCCATGGGATGGACTCAAAAGACTCTGTTCAAGACAGTCATTCCTTCGGACTGATTGTCTCTCACTTGGGCTTTGACATTTTGTCACCTTTTGATGAAGGTATCTCAGACTCCTGCTTCATCAGCTGACCTTTTGCTCCCTTTGGAGTTCTAAAACTGGCCAGTTTGGGTCATTGAATTGGATTCTTTCATTTGTCTCTCTCTGCTTTTGGAGCCATTGTTACTTTTCTGTGTTTTGTCTTCCCCTCTGTGGGTTATCCCATATCACTTGCCTCTTGGCATGAAAAGGAAGTCAGTCATTTCTATATCCAGCAATGTTCTGTCCAACTCCATCCATTTTGAACATTATGAGATGGATACTACTCTGTCTTCAGTCAACATGGAGATTGAGTTTAATATTTGAATGAATGTTGTTCTCTGTGGTTCCTTTGGAATACACTTCGCTTCCTGTCAACATGTCATTTGGGTCCTAATTATATAAATTTCCTAGTATATTCACTCAGTGCACACTGAAGTACAGTAGGGTACATTGAAGGCTCAATTATTAATATTCAAAGGATTCTATATCTCCTTTCTGCAAAACCCTGGACTTTTTTAGACATCTGAGACAACTCTTCAAACCACAAGGCATGCCCCACACCCCGCCCTCCCATGCATTCTTTGTTTTCTAATTCTCGCATTTCTTTCAATATCCATCAAGACTCTGGTCTTATAGAGTCTTTGGTTATCCATTTCTTTGGATATCCATCAAGACTGTGGCAATCTTCCTTATCCATTCGTCCGTTGAAGGGCATCTTGGTTCTTTCCACAGTTCGGCAACCGTGGCCATTGCTGCTATAAATATTGGGGTACAGATGGCCCTTCTTTTCACTACATCTGTATCTTTGGGGTAAATACCCAGTAGTGCAATTGCAGGGTCATAGGGAAGCTCTATTTTTAATTTCTTGAGGAATCTCCACACTGTTCTCCAAAGTGGCTGCACCAACTTGCATTCCCACCAACAGTGTAAGAGGATTCCCCTTTCTCCACATCCCCTCCAACACATGTTGTTTCCTGTCTTGCTAATTTTAGCCATTCTAAGTGGTGTAAGGTGGTATCTCAATGTGGTTTTAATTTGAATCTCCCTGATGGCTAGTGATGATGAACATTTTTTCATGTGTCTGATAGCGATTTGTATGTCTTCATTGGAGAAGTGTCTGTTCATATCTTCTGCCCATTTTTTGATATGATTATCTGTTTTGTGTGTGTTGAGTTTGAGGAGTTCTTTATAGATCCTAGATATCAACCTTTGTCTCTACTGTCATTTGCAAATATCTTCTCCCATTCCGTGGGTTGCCTCTTTGTTTTGTTGACTGTTTCCTTTGCTGTGCAGAAGCTTTTGATTTTGATGAAGTCCCAAAAGTTCATTTTGGCTTTTGTTTCCTTTGCCTTTGGAGACATATCTTGAAAGAAGTTGCTGTGCTGATATCGAAGAGATTACTGCCTATGTTCCCTCTAGGATTCTGATGGATTCCTGTCTCATGTTGAGGTATTTTATCCATTTTGAGTTTATCTTTGTGTACGGTGTAAGAGAATGGTTGAGTTTCATTCTTCTACATATAGCTGCCCAGTTTTCCCAGCACCATTTATTGAAGAGACTGTCTTTTTTCCACGGTATATTTTTTCCTGTTTTGTCGAAGATTAACTGACCATAGAGTTGAGGGTCCATATCTGGGCTCTCTACTCTGTTCCACTGGTCTATGTGTCCATAGACACATAGGTACTGGTACTTTTATGCCAGTACCATGCTGTCTTGGTGATCACAGCTTTGTAGTAAAGCTTGAAATCAGGTAACGTGATGCCCCCAGTTTTATTTTTGTTTTTCAACATTTCCTTAGCAATTAGGGGTCTCTTCTGGTTCCATACAAATTTTTGGATTATTTGCTCCAGCTCCTTGAAGAATACTGGTGGAATTTTGATTGGAATGGCATTAAAAGTATAGATTGCTCTAGGCAGTATAGACACTTTAACAATGTTTATTCTTCCGATCCAAGAACATGGAATGGTCTTCCATCTTTTTGTGTCTTCTTCAATTTCTTTCATGAGTGTTCTGTAGTTCCTTCAATGGATGAATGGATAAGGAAGATGTGGTCCATATACACTATGGAGTATTATGCCTCCATCAGAAAGGATGAATACCCAACTTTTGTAGCAATATGGACGGGACTGGAAGGGATTATGCTGAGTGAAATAAGTCAAGAAGAGAGAGTCCATTATCATATGGTTTCACTGATTTGTGGAGCATAACAAATAGCATGGAAGACATGGGGAGTTAGGAGAAGGGAGTTGGGGGAAATTGGAAGGGGAGGTGAACAATGAGAGATTATGGACTCTGAAAAACAATCTGAAGGGTTTGAAGAGGTGGGGGGGGTGGGAGGTTGGGGGAACCATTTGGTGGGTATTAGAGAGGGCACGGATTGCATGGAGCACTGGGTGTGGTACAAAAACAATGAATACTGTTATGCTGAAAATAAATTAAAAAACTGATTATAAAAAAAGGCTGTGGCAATCAATTTAATATTCTCATCTTTTTTAGGATTATCTTTTGGAGCCTACGTCTCTTCTGTTTGCCTTTTGTATTTTCTAATCTAACATATTCATGGGTAAAAGATTAAACAGACACCTGTGTACTCTATCCTGAAAGGCTGACACAGCATAACCCTTAGCCAAATCCCTTAGCTTACTGGCCTCACTACACGCAAAGGACAGGAAAAGGTGAACATCTAAAAGACATCTTGATTTCTCTACATATCATCTCACTTTTCATACAAAAGTCTTGATGTGAATTCCCTGTGGA